TATACTTAATTAAGTGCTTAATTTACTCAATCACCTGTTTAATTTACTCAATTATCTGTTTATGTTACTCAATATTCAATTATATGCTCAATTTACTTAATATCATTTTGAATAATGTAAAATATTGATAGCGTTTAATATATGTTAATGCTTTTTTTAGAAAAATTTATTAAAAACCCTAATATCAATTTAATATTGTGTAACAAAGATACATTAAATCATCGAAATGATGTTGAAAATGAATTTTTTGAATCCAAAATTTAAAGTTTAAATGTTTTCATATTTTAAATAATTTTTTATACGAGATCATTAATTATATGTCTAATTTACACCCGACTGGGGATATGTTTTCCCTAATTACCGCCTTAATTTACGCAAGAAGAGAATTTTAAAACAGTTTTTTTTTCTATTCTCCACACATAGTAAGCATATTAAAATACTTAAGTGATTCGACCCTAGGGACTAATTCTTTCAGTATATATAAAATAGCTAAAGAGGGTATTTCCGGAGCAAAATATAATTATTGTCAACACATAATCGAAAAAAGGGAAAAATTCGTAACAGGTTTTGTTCTTCTTTTTTTTTAAAAAGTTTTTATATTTTTTTAACTATTTTCGACTTTTTTTTAGTTTTGTTTTTTATATTATTTAATTTTTTTTATTATATTTTGAATTCAAGTAAAATCAGGTAAAATATGAATGTGTCTCAATATAAATACTATAGAATCAATTAGATAATAGAGGATAATTATTTTAAAGGGGGTCGCATGATGTTTTCCAATTTGAATATTTTCCCCGAGGATAAAGAATAATCGATATAATTTACTGTGTACTTAAATGGCCACAAGTGATTTATAAATCGCCAGTGACCTAGTCCTTTAATTATCCTTACTATATTAATTTTTATTCATAAAAAAAAATTATATTAATTCTAACTAGTATAAGATTTTTTTAATTACAGTGAAACCGACTGATGGTAAAAAGAATTTTGAAAAATGAAAATATAAAAAATACCAATATAGAAATCTACCTTACCGACTGATGGTAATCATTTTTAAAAAATGAAAATGTAAAAAATTTTGTTTCCATTATTCCAAAAACTGGTTTACCATCAGTCGGTAAGGTAGATTTCTATATTAGTATTTTTATATTTTCATTTTTCGAAAAATTTACCATCAGTCGGTAAGGTAGATTTCCGCGTCGGTAATTTTTATATTTTCATCTCTTCGAAAAAACCTGTTTTACCATCAGTCGATAAAGTAGATTTCTGTGTCGGTAAATTTTTATATTTTCATTTTTCGAAAAAAATTTCCATCAGTCGGTAAGGTAGATTTCTGCGTCGGTAATTTTATATATTTTTATTTTTCAAAATTTTTTATCATCTTGTTAATCTTGTTTCATATTTTTATAATAAATTCAAATTTTTAAATGAGAATTAAATATAATTTTGAAAAGAAAAATCACAGTAAGAAAAAATGTTCAATTTTCTCTAAAAATATAAGATTCATTTTTTTTTTTTGAAGGGGTGTGGAGAGTAAATTTTTTATGATCCTTTCAATCCTACTGCCCACTTTGTAGAATCATAAAATCGATAAGCAAACACTCATTACACGCCGCTCTATTATTAAATCATAAAAATTCGATGATTCTTGTCTTTATAATATTTTCATCATCGACAGCGAACAAACTGCGACCTAACAAAATTGCCGCACATATAATTGGACTATAGCAAAAAAAAAAAAAAAAAACAAAAAAAAAATGTCTGATGATCATTAGATATACAAATTTGTGATATATTCATAAAACCAACAAGAGAAATATATGTATTTCTTTATGTATATAATTTTATATGACGAGAGCAAAATAATTGATGATTGAGTGCGAAGTGGTAATTTATTATATTAAATTAAGTCTGTGCATGTTACTTTGGTTGAGAAGTAATCTTTTAAGACATCATAAAAGTGAACATCTCAACTTCAACTTGAAGCTCTTATACTTGCCAGTATATATATGGAATCTGAGAAAAACTTTAATGAGTCTCTAATAAGGAAGTATATGGCAATGATAGTTTTAATGAGGGAATTAATTTGAGGTGTGAGAAAACGGAAATGTGTTTTGATCGAAAAATAATTAATTGATAGTTATTTGAAAAAAAAAAACAATTATCATCATTTTTGATATTATTCAATCATTTTATTTTATTTCTCTCGTTACTATATAAATTTTACTAACTCATTTATTTGTTGCAAATATATTTTATTTCATTTAAACAAAAAATTTATTAAAGCAAAAGAAAAATTTATTTATGCCAAATAAAATTTTTAATTACACTAAATAATTAAGTTAGTAGGCTCTGAGACAAATATATACGTTAATAAATATATATTTTATTTGGTTGAAATAAATCATTTCTCTGGGTGTAGTAAATATTTATTTATTGACAAGTAACCAATTACTTGAATCAAAAAAATTTGTTTTTTAAAATCTTATTTGAATTGTTGTTAAATAATTAATTTATATATATTAGAATATTTACAATTTTCAAAATTTGATAAATTAAATATTGATTAATAATTATATAGACCTAGAGAATATTAATTAGATGAAATAAAAAATGTTCGATTGCAAACAAAAAAAAAATTTGAGATGTATTTAATATATAATTGGACAGTGACCCACTCCAATTAAGTAGGTAACCTCATGTAAGGAATATTCAATGAGAAGATGAAGCTACCGAAGAAGAAAGAAAAACAAATGACTTGAGTCGCAAGAAATGAAGAAGTAAAGTATCGTGGACTAAGATATACAATGTTGCGGTTTTATCGCAATATCTCAAACCATCATTTGATTATATATTAATCTACGACAATCTTTCAATCGATATATTGAATTGTAAAGTATTGTACATGTCGTTAACGAAACAAATATCAATCAATATTGACAAAAACTAGGAATTTTTTGTCAATCATTAATTTTTCAATAAAAAAAATATTTAAATAATACTAATTTATTTTTATTTTTTCCAATTCTCAATTTTGCAATAAAAAAAATAATCGCAATAATAAATAATATTAATTTATTTTTTAATTTTTATTATAACAATTACTACTTGAAATTTTCGTTTTCAACGCACCATAAAAATATGAAATGCAAAAAAAAAATTTCAGTAGTTAAAGTGTTACTAAAATCACTAAAAAAAAGAATTAGAAGGACAGTTGTTGACATCAAAGTTATTGTATGTTTCACATTTATGTCAGGTGAAAAATTTATGATGCCCTTTGTCACTTTTATAACAGAGAGATTTTTTTTTCTTTTTTTTGACTTTCAAAACAAAAAGTAATATAAATTTGAATTTCAACCGTGACGACATTAGGTCCCAAAAAAGACTCGATTACATCGTAAAAGTGGACAGAGGAAGGCGCCTTGATTCTTTGTTTTACAATCTGTTTGAAAAATAAAAAAAAAATAACATCAAGGTTTTAAAGTTTATTGACACTCCATTTGCATTTGAGGAATTTGATTTTACTTCATTTTCTCTAAGAAATCATTTCAACAAATTCTAAATTGAAAGTAAAATTTTGTATTTTGAGAATGAGAATGAGAGAGAGAGAAAATAAAAATTGATATTTAATAAAATTCATTTTTTTCGGTAAATAATTCATATAATTTATGATTACAGATGCATTTTATACTGATATGAACTAAAAGCCTATTTCATAAATTATCTTTTTTCCATCATCAGGTCGTAATATCTTTCGACACTCTTCTGTTGTAACTACATATATCTCATTTTTCAACTTCTACTGTTTTTTTCCGAGACTTTTCTGTCACTCTATGAAAACTAATTTTTCACTATATAGAATCGTGTAACTAGAAGATAATATTTAATCATTTTAATCGCTATCAAATTTGATCAGAAAATTAGAATTTTTTTCTATAACAAATAAAAAAAATCGAAATATTTTCAAGGAACATCCAGAGAAATATTTTATTTGAACCAAATATAATATATTTCATTTAACTAAACGTATATTTGTCTCGCAACCTATTTATTTGGCGTAAATAAAATTTTTTATTTAAATCAAATAAAAATTTATTTGAATCGAATAAATATTTATTAGGCTGTGAGACAAATATATCATTCAACTACCGAAAAAAATGCTAAAGGAAAATTTTTTTTTTTAAAAAAGAAGAAATTTTTGGAATTTTTTTTTTTAAAGAGAATTTTTACCTGTATGGGTTATTATACCTAATCTTAAGTAAAAACGTATATTTGTTGGTCTATTTTGAGTTGAAATTCCTGTTCAAAGAGTATCATCCGACTGATATCGTCTTTACCTTCTGGTCATTTTTCTCACTCACCGTCAAACCCAATGGGCGAATAGAAAAGTTATCTCTCGTAATTTCTTTTTTCTGTCAGAGTGAGGCCTATATATATGTTTACGGTTTCCTTTGCCTTAAATGAGTCAAAATGACTTTCCCTTAAACCATTCAGTCTCTCTTTCTCTCGAGGGGATTCATGCCAGACATAGTCGGAGATCCGTCTAAACGAAACGAAGGGTGGAAAAAGTTTGAAGAGCATATATAAGTATAAGCGTAATCTGGAAGCAAGTATAAGGAGGGGATTTTTTTTTCTTCTCTCCTTCTCTCCCTCTCTCTTTCTTTCTCTCAACATCCCTTGAGATGATACCCATCGTGGTATTTCGAAGCGAGTAATCTCCAAAAGTGGCTTTAGTGTCTACAGCACTTCAACTTGTCTCGTAAAAGTAAAAAAGAAACTGTCTTATTTACCAATTTTCTTGCTTATATATATCTCTTTTTTCCCGCTTCACATATGCCAAGGAGAAGAAAAAAAAAGACTTGTCAAAAAATAGATTTCCTTCTATCGCGACATGAGTGAATTTTTTTTTCTATTATAATTATTATTTTTAAAATTATATAAATTGATTTAATTTTTAATTAATAAAAATTAATTCGAAAATTTTCCTTTTTTTGTTCTAGTGCTTCGACAATTTTTCAATCGAGGAAAATGAGTATTTCGAAAAAGATGGAGAAAAGAAGATAAAGGATAAAATAATCATTTATCGAATTATGGAAAAAGAGATAAACTACCGTTGGACAGAGACAAATTTTTGGATATGTTTTTTTATATACAAGAAGTGAATTATTTTATCGGTAATACTATTTAAAACAAACAAGTTTAAAATAAAATCAGTTACGAGATTTTTTTTTTAACTTCATTTAATCAAATGACGAAAGAAAGAAAAGAAGAACCAAGAAAAAAAAGAATCTATTTAAACGAGTAGCAAGAAGAGAGATAAAATATCGAAAAAATTTATTAACGGAAAAATTTGTTACATGATGAAAGAAAAGATTTTAAAAGGAAGTAAAAAAACAAAGAGAAGATAAAAAAATATTAAAATTGAGAATTGAAAAAATTGTTGGAGTAAAAGAAAGCAAAGAAGAGCTAAAAAAATAGAAATAATAAGTAAGGAAAAGATTACTAAAAGTACAGCGAAGCTAAAAATTAAAGAAGAAATAAAAATTAAACTAAAAAGTAATTTTTGACGTTTCTTAAGAAAGAAAAATATTAAAGAAGAATGTAAGAAATCAAACTAAAAATAAAAAAAAAAGGAAAAAAGTGTTCAAAAACATTAATTAAAATGAAAGAAGTTTCAAAATAAGAGAACAAACAAAGAGCAATTGAAGAGAAAGTAAAAAATTACTGTAAGAAGAAGAAAGAAGCAAAAAGAAGCAACAAATAAAAGAAGAAATCCCTAAAAGAGTATAATAAAAAAAAGAAAATAGAAAAATAGCTAACAAATTAAAAGAATAAAAAAATTTCAAAATAAGAAAAAGAAATAAAAAGAAGTTGAAGAAATAAAAATTTACTGTAAGAAGAAGAAAGAAGTAAAAGGAAGCAACAAATAAAAGAGGAAATCCCCAAAAGAGTGTAATAGAAAAAAAAGTAGTTAACAAACAAAAAGTTTCAAAATAAGAGAAAAAATAAATACAAGTTGAAGAAAAAAAAACTTACTGTAAGAGGAAGAAAGAAGTAAAAAGATGCAACGAAAAGAAGCAACAAATGAAAAAAAATCCCTAAAAGATTATAATAGAAAAAGAAAATAAAAAAGAAGCTAACAAACTAAAAGAAAATAAGAAAAGTTTCATAATAAGGAAAAAACAAATACAAGTTGAAGAAACAAAAACTTACTGTAAGAACAAGAAAGAAGCAAAAAAAGTTGCAATAAAGCAAAAAGAAGCTAAAAAAAATCCCTAAAAAAAAAAGAAAACTAGTTGAAAGAAAAGAGAATAAAGAATAAAAAGTAAAAAAAGAGTAACTGAAAGAGGGAAAGTCCATCTTTATAGATCAAGAAATACTAAAAAGGGGAACCAACCGAAGAAGAAGAAGAAGAAGAAGAAGAAGAAGAGGAGGAAGAACACTAAAAAGAGGGAGACAGGAGTGATGAAAAAAAAGAGGGAAAGAGAATAAGAAGGGATTTGTTTGTAAGGTGAGGTAACGGACAAGAGGGTCCACAAGATCTGTCGCGTGCTACATCTCCCAGGGATGGGACAGATGGGAACGGGACGATGCAAGATGAGGCGGAATGGGACAAAACGGGATTATGGATGGGATGGAATGAATTCTATGGACCAATGTTTGTGAGTCAATTTCTATCTTAGTGTTGGTTTCACTCTCGACTGCCGGGACTCACAAGTCGTGTGTGCTCATATATATATATATACGTGTAGTGTCTTCCTTTCGCAGTGTTGGTTGCTCTCTCTCTCTTTCTCTTTTTCTCTCTTTCTCTCTCACACTGATATGTGTGTCTCTCTACGAGAGCGAAGCGAAGAGTGCTTGCCCGAACGGAGAACAGAACCGCGGCACTCGTTCAGTAGTTTCTCGGACGCCGTACCGGCACCATCCGACCTACGTGATAACCCTAGATTCTATCAGCCTCCCCCTAATACAAATCTCTCTCTCTCTCTCTCTTTCTCTCTACTCTCTTTTTCAAATTTAATCCAATCCCCCCCCAAAAAAAAATTTGCTCAAGAAAATTTTTTCCAATCATGATTTTTTGATATAATCATTCAAAGTGATAAACACGTGTTCGCCGGCAAAAAAAAATTTTTCTATCATGAGTGTGAATTAATTTTTTTGTTTCTTTTTCTGTCAAAAAACTTTAGTGCAAAAAAAAAAAAAAAATTGAGAGAAAAATAGATGATAAAATCAAATTTGCAATATATCGTGTGAAAATTATTTGTCCAAAACAAAAAGGAATATTAATTTTTGTGAATCAAATCAATTGGACCCAATGTCATCAATTCCTTGGTTTTTGATTTTCGCGAATATTTGAATTTTAATCATCCATTTGGATTGTATTTATAATTTTTTTTCTTCTTTCTTTTTGGATAATTGAGGGGGGTGGGGTGTCAATAATGCGAGAGGATCGAGATCGCGGTGCCTGCGTGGTACCCGCGGATCATCAGTGTTGGAGCCACCCTTTCAGTGCGCGGCCGAGGCAGACTTGAGGGATTTTTCTTTCATCACAGAAAGGGTGGTTACCAAGATTTAATAACAACAATAATCCTATTCAAGGATTGGGGGGCATAAAACGGGAGTGTGGATGAGAGCGTCATGCCCGCTGTGATCGACACAGGAGGGCCGAGGGTGCTGCATAATAATCATTATGAGAGTCCCACCACATCGTTTATATTCATTCCCGAGAGAATTCAAAGGGACAAATTTTTTTATCATCATGAACAAAGATTCTTATGTGATTCCAAACGTGAGAGGACCTATAGTGAGGGTTTATTGGATCTCGATAGTTCACCGGAAGTTCGACGAAGGAGAATTAAAAGAACAAGAAGAGGTGAATTGATTGATGACAAAGTGAAAAGAAAAAATGACAATTTGTCAAGAATTCATGATTTTAATCAACAACCGGAATTACGAGGTAGCTATGAGATCGGAAATTTGTCACTATCGTCAACCACCTGCCACGTGATTGCTAATCGAAAATTGTACAGGTACTCGGAAAGTAATAGATCTGTAAATATTGGTGAATGTTTTTTCAATAAATTGAAAGAAAGATTCAAAAGTGATGAGTGGTTTGATCCAGGAATATCAGTCTCTAGTCATCCGTGTTCCAGGAGCAATTCTCCTCCTCTGACTCTCGAGAAACATCGAGATTATTCAAGAGAAGTGAAATTCGATCCAGTCATTTATCCAATTGATTTTAATATTGAATCATCGTCACTTCATTTAGAAATTGATCCTCGGATTGATAAACTAAATGTTTGTGATTCTCAATTAGGGATCGATGATATTGATCCAGTTTGTTTGGAGATTGATCAAATTCATCATCAAATTGATTCGTTGAGAATTACATCACATTTGGCAGTTGATAACTCATCATTATTATTGAGGAGAAAAAAACGTAAACTAAATAGACAGTGTTCGAAGAATTGTTCTTATTTTCAATTAGCGTTTCTATTGTTTTTAATTGCATTTGGGCAGAATGGACTGCTTTCATCGGGTGTGTTAAAATTTCACAGGAAGAGTACTGGATTGAGTGTTTTCACTATTGGTATGGTGATTGGTGCAGTGAGAGCAGCGCCAGTGGATCTGATCGGTGACACAGGTATTAGGGCAGAAAGATCGGCAAATTTATCACACATTACGGGAGCGTCAAGAAAAATCCAAATGTACGTGAAAAATAGATATCTGCAGATTTTACCAAATGGCACTGTCAATGGTTCTAATGATGACGCCTCCGACTACAGTGAGTACAATATTAATTTATTTAATTTTACCACTATTTTTAAAAAAACTTGATTTGGAACTTTTCTCTAAATTCGAAAAAGAGAAATTGAATATTTCAAAAAAATGATTACCAAAGAGATAGGGACTTTTTGTTAATTTAATTTGAATAGAAGACAGATTTATTTCTCGGCAAAAGTTTGAAAGGAAGTGTCAAATTAAAGAGAGATGAAATAATGAATCCACATCATTTCACAGACACATTTTGCATTACACAACTGACCCATTTTCACAGCCATAGAATTTTGCGGTCGATATGGTACATCGGGTATAAGCTTGAAACTCGGTTAAAATTTGCCAAAAATTCAATTGTCGAATTTTGGAAAAAAATTTTTTATAAAAAATCACTATCGATCTGTAAACATATTTTCTATTTGTATACGCAAAAGATTTTGACGTTAATTGAAAAATATTAGCTCCGAATTAATTGTCTAAATTTCGTATAGACGTAGAGGTTACAATTGAGGAAATGAAGAGAGTAAAATGTGTGATTGAATCGCGACTGGGTCAACAGATCCAAGAATACACGTCGACACGTACGCGTTCCTTTGCTTTTTTAATTAGTTCGAGCTGACACTTACGTCACTATTTGTTTGTACTGAGTTTTCGAAAGTGTTTCATTCTAAAAAAACTGTTATCTCCTCGTTGACATCAATTTTATCTCTCTCGCGAATACTTTAATAATGTTTGTCTTACAAGGATAATTACAACTTTTAATCAAAATGAGATCTTTTTTCGCTGATATTGTCTCTTTTAGAAACTCTCAACAATACTCATTTTAATTTAATTAAAAATTATTTATGCAAGGAATGTTTAATCATTTTTAAATAAAATTTATCGTATACATTCAAATTTGAGGTGATATAAACTTTTTCTGAGAATATCTCATATATTGAATGTTTTTAAAGAATTATTTTCCAATGTTAATTATAAAGTATAGAAAATAATTTGAATTTGAAAGGAAAATATAACAAATTGACCTTTAACACGAAATTGATACTTGTAGATAAAAGAGGTATAGCGTACTTAAAATAAAAAGAACCGTACTAAATGATTATAAGAAGGAGAAAAAAAAAAGAGATTGGAATCAAGTTGCGACACATTATCGTCCTTAAAAGAAAGAAATACCATGCCGATTAATCCTTTCGTCAATCATGTTGCCCCATAAAAGGATGATCTATTTTGTCATGGGAGGATTTAGCTTTGAGAGTGTTTTGCGCCGCGAGAGATATTACTGAAGATGTTGTATATACACATCGCCCCATCGGGGACACCGGGTCTAGCGTGACTGCTATAATCTTCAGTCTTGGGATAATTAAAGTTAAACATTCCGTAAAACAACGTCGTCAGAATCGGAAAGAAGATCAATCATCGAGGAATTCAACTGGCAGAACCTCATTCCTAGATTCATACCCTCGCGTTCTGGTATATATATATATGTTTCGACTGTGTACTACTCCTGGGGATAAAGTCGAGATCAAATAATCGTCGTTTTCTCGAGGAAGCCAAGACCAAAGACACGCGACGAATGTGTAAAGTGATTTCCCGAGACGTTGATAGTCAACTGCAGACATTCTTCAGCTTCTGTGAGAAAATATAATTAAAGAGCTACCCGAGTTCAACGAACGGATAATTATTTCTTCGCATCATATCTTTTTAAAACCAGCCTTTCGCACTCATTTCTCTCTATATATATAATAATGATAATAATAATAATTGTCCAACATATAGACTTTACAGGTGTCGTGTCTCAATGTCACTTGTCATGGTTCTAGGTCATTGGAGCAGCAAATGCGCTCTTTCAATTTATTGGCATAGCATTCTTACAATTACTTCATACCTAATTTATCATTAGAAAAATCCCATTCGTACTTTACATCGTTCCATTCAACTTCCGCGAATTCTTATATTTCATTTTATACGTTTGTATTCCTAATAAGATGTTTCCTTATTTAATGGGGCTTCATTCATAATAGGTTTTTTTATAATTATACTTTTTTTGATACAATAAAAATTAACTTGTTATTTTCGGTTGTGCAGAATAGCATTTTTAATTTTAATCATTTTGTAAAACAACATTATCAACTGTTGTACAATAATTGTTGTAAAAAAATTTCGTGTTAAAATAATACTAATCCATTTTTTCTCTTATCTAAAATTGAGTGTAGAACAAATTTTTTCTAACACGTAATATTCGAATGTATATCGCATAATTTTCAATTTTAAACCAATATAGAGTCTAATCTGCTTATTCAAACAATAAAAACATACAATGGAAAAAAAATTAGTAATGAATCAAGAAAACCCACACTGAAAAAATTTATTTTATTCAAATAATTGCGTTGTTTTACTATTACCATAATTAAATTTGTATTTGTATTAAATAATTATCATTTGAAATTATATTTGTTTCAAATACAAAAATTATTGTGTCCAAATGCAGTTTATTTAATTCGAATAAAATTTATTTGACAATAGTCAAGTATAATCGATTATTTGAATTAAATATTTTTTCAGTGCACTTGTTCGTATTTGATTCAATATTTTATTGATTCAAAAAATTTTACAAGTTTGAAGTAAATTTTAATTAAAAAAAGAAGTGTATCAAATACGAATAAGTACATTATTTTCTTGAATCTTGAACAATTTTTTTTATCAAAAAATTATTTATCCAATTTTTGCATTATTTGATTATAATGACTTTTTAGTGATTTGCAAGAGAGGTTTAAATTGCTCTGTCAATAAAATATCCCACAAATATAAAGATCATTATTTGTGCTTTATTGATGAGGCGACTTACACCTATTATTCTATTATTCAGAATTTAAAACAGTGCATTGCACACATTAAATGCTTCATGAATATATCGTTACTTTATCTCTATTATTCGTGTAATCAAACGTCACTAGGAAGGGTTGGAGATATTCTATTACGACAGCGAGAAATGTCGCTTTCAATTGACCGCAAATAAAAGTTGATATTCAAACACGCTGGGACTCTACGATAATAATAATAATATTAATAATAAAAAAATAATAATAACAACAACAATAATAATAATTATTAAATATTAAATAATATTTCAATATTATTATTTAATAAGAAATATTATATTAAGAAGTGAAATATCATTAATTTATATTTAGAGAAATTTAAAAACAAATTTCCAAAATATAATTTTTTTTTTGATAACATACTTCGGTTTAAATTAGTCAAATTCTATTTCGGAACGTGTTAATATTTCAACTGGGTAATGATATGCTTTTAGCGATATGGCATTGACATAAAATCCTGTTTTACTGAACAAATTTTTGATGAGGAAAAATATTGTAAACATGAAACAGTTTACACAAATTATTATATATTAGAGTTTGATTTTCTATTATATAGAAAAACTACAAATTAAATTAATTTAAGTCAGAGCACGTTTTAGAAAATACCTCGAATATATAATTATAGAGAAATATAATTTACCATCATAGAGAAATATATTTTTTTTTTCTGTTAGCATCAAAAAAAATTTTTGTTTTATAAATTCTCCGCCATAAGGGCCAATTAAATAAATCGATAAAAAAAAAATAAATAAATATCTGTAACACTTTATTTTTTGAAATCAAAAAATAAAATGTTATCATATAGTAGCAGGTGGATTTTCAAATTACAGCTAAAGCTGGTCTCGTTCTCTTTGGAAGTGAGTTAATTACATTAAGATCTGAGAAAATTTCGAGGAACTGCAATCAAATGTACAACCTATAACTAATCATAATCTGCGTGCACAGAATATTCTTAGCAATTTACTAAGTATGTAATAAGTAGTTATCGTTATAGTTAAAATAAAAAACAGTTGATAATGAAATGGTAACAGTCTATATGTTTAACTATTTCTTTAATTTCATTTTTCTAGTTTTCAATTTTATATATATAAATAAATATAGAACTTAAACATTTTATAACGATCAATTAAAATTTTTTTGTCATTTATTTAATAATAATTAAATACCGTGTAATAATATATAATAAATTTTAATTAATCAAGCCGTTTTAATGTGAATAGTAAATATTTAATCCTTGCACATTTTTACTAATTGAAAATTAATTTATTTGGCGTAAATAAATTTTTTTTTAAATCAAATAAAAATTTATTTGAATCAAATAAATATTTATTAGGCTGTGAGACAAATATATAATTTCTTTGGGTGTATTGGACCAAAATAACCAAGAAATCTGATAACTAATTAATTGTGATAATTAACCATTGCAGTACTATAATTAACTCAATGTTAATTGCTATAATATTTAATAACACTTGTTAATAATTTCAAATTCAATGGTATTAAAATCAGCATGACAGATAAGGTGAATTTACTTCTGACAGAAAGTGGCTTTTTACTTCACATAAACTCGTTCTTCCTGCCAGTCATCATTCTCTATCTTATCCTGTAGGATTTTTCAAAACGGTGAATTCATCCGAGAAAAACATTCAACTAGAGCTATCTAAATCATTCAATTGAGATTTTTCTTTTCAATTCTTGTTAATTGCCTGAAAAAGTCATTGGAGAAAAATCGTAGAAGCGATGATACCTCGATATAATAAAAAAAAAAATCATTTTCACAAAGAAATTACCACTCAACACAAAAAAAAACAATAAAATTTTACACGAGCAAATAAAGAGTATAAAAAAAATAATTACATTGAAGCAAAAGAGTCTATGTCCTAATATACTAACTTTGTCTCAAGATAAGACACACCTGTTTTTATATAGTGATGTTAAAATCTTTTCAAATTAAAATATTCAATTCCTAAGTTTATTCTTATCAAAAAGGCAATTAATTTATATTTCAACGAATTGATTAAAAAAAAAAGAAAAGAAAAAGGAACAAGTGGTCCTGGGAATCTCAAAAGATGACGGGAGATTGGAGAAAGTGTACATATAACCAGTTCAACACATATACACAATCCTG